GTTATATATATATATATATATATATATATATATAGTGATGGTTCCCTTTAACAAAATGCTTTAACTAGGGTTTAGAAAAAATTGCTACATCCGCATGGAATTGGCGAATCCAACCAGGGAAGTGGAATCACCGCGTCATTTCCTTTAATATATCGAGACTTAGTCGGCTTTCTCTAGGAAGCATCGATCTTTGTCAAAGAACATACGATTCACTGTTCTGGAATATGTGGATCGTTCAATCCACCTATATTTTTTGTATGTACCATTGCAAATCTACCATACAAAAGAGTTTTATCGAGTCTTGGATCAAACCTATTTAAACTTTGGTTTAAAACAATGATCATTGATCCCTCTAATCCTTGCATGATCAATTTGAATAAAAGAACAACCTTTTGGTTGGAAATCTAGCCTGAAATTGTTAGGTTCTTTTTGGCATTAAAGAGTACTTCAATCAAAATCATCAACTTGCCTTTATTTTTCAATCAATTTCTTGAGGGATTTTATTTTAAAAATGACTTGATTGTATCTGAAACATCATTTCTCAATTCTGTTTCTTATTTTTTATTTCATTTTGTTTTTTGTTATATGCCAAATCTGCCAAACATGAGTTGCTTTTGAAATTTGAACTAAAGGTATCGAAATTTGGTTCAAAGCGAAGATTTTTTTATCCCTCTAAGCCCTTGAATGATCTGTTTTAATAAAACCGTTTGATTGAAAATTAAGCCCGGAAATTTTAGGTTCTTTTTTGCATCCTAGATATTTTATGTTCTCTTTTGCATTCAAGAGTTCTTTTAATCAAAATCATTTGTTTCCTTTGATATTCGATCAATTTCTTGAGGAATTTTGATCTAAAGAGTAGGTGATTTGATCTAAAATAGGTATTTTGTAAATTTTATTTTATATTTTTTTTTTTGACTTTTTGTTGGATTTAGGGTTTGGGTGACGATTTTGGGTATAATCTGCCAAATCGAATATTAAATCTTCGATTTCATAGTCAAATTTGTTCCAAGTTTGTTCATTTGATTCATGATTTGTCGAATTATTACATATTTGGTTCAATTTATTAGATTAAATCCTATTTTTGCTAGACCTAGCCCAAAAAATTAGAGTTTTTTTGCTCGGTTTTTCTAAAAAGAATTCTTTAGCCAATTTATATGGGTCTTGCATGGTTTAACGAGGGGATGACTACAATATATAATTTGATTGTTTCTCGAAATGAAATTTTAATATTGCATGATGATGATACGCACACATATTAAGAAATAGCTCTCATTTTTTATTTTATTGTGTGTCTATAAGGGATAAAGTTTTTTAATTATATATCTATTTTTTAATAAATGAGGAAAAATCGTCGTACTTTTTATTTTTGGTTTTCATATCTCAATAGATCCAATGATTCAAAATAAATTTTCTATTTTTTTGACTAACTTTATCCACTTTTAACTATTTTTTTAACCCTAACGTGCTCATTCTAAACCCTTCATTCTTATTTCTCTCTCTGACATTCACCTTTTTTGTTTCTCTAATGGGAGGGAGAAAGTGAGAAATAGGTAGAGAGAGATTTAGGTGAAAATCATATGAAGAGAGAGATGATGTCCTTTAGAAAGGATATATTTTTTTTATATTTGTTTGGGGCAAAAAAATAGTTTTACAAAAGATAAAATTTTAAAAGATATTTATGTGAAAGGTTTCTATGCTTCCTCAACTATCCAGCGGTCCAATTTTGATCAAAAGAGCCACTCACTGTTTGATCTTAGATTTGATGTCATAAAGTATTTTATTTTTAGTTTTTCTTATACAAATTGTATGAATATGAAATTTGGTACGTGTCATATTCTTATTGGGGCGTACTTATAAAAAATATTAAAAATAATTTTTTTATAAAATATAATAACCAAAATATCTCTTGAAACTTTTAGGGGTATCTTGGTTATTTTATTTTATTGAAAATATTTTTTTTTAATATTTTTCTCTAGTGCGAGTTTAATAGAGGAATGGACGTTCAAAATTTAGTGACAAAATAATTTATAAAAAAAATTAAAAATAAAATAATAAGGGGAAGATAAAACTTTTATGCTATAGAAAAAACAATAAAAAGCTTACTCATTTTTATAGTTCAATATATGTTTTGATACCTTGAGTCTATTGATATATAAAACTTAAAAGTACCTCATATATAAAATTTAAAAATATGGAGTACTATGATATTTTCTTCTAATAAATTTTACCAATCCCTTTATTTTCCAATTTATATTTATTTTAGATTAATAGAAATAACCGCTTCATGATGAAGAAGACCCGATAAGGACTTCGAGGTGCGTCCGGGTCCCATGCCACGAGCCGATCTGAGGCCCTAAGCTTTGGTGGTGGGGCCATGGCCCTTGTGCGTGAGAAGTGACGCATGGCCCTTCGCAAGAGCCCCGCAATTTACCACCTCAAACTACTGCTTGCCACGTGTACAAACCGTCAAGGGCGGCTGACCCCAACTTCGCTCGGACGGAATAGCGTCCAGGTTCATTGAACCAAGTCCTTGGCCCCTGTTCTCTCTGTATTCATAAATCCCTCCCCCCTCTCTCGCTCTCTAACAGAGAGCTTGATCCTGGTTGATTGCTACTTGCAAAAGACGATTTGTAGAGAGGGTTTCTTTTGGTATTACGGTTTCATTTTGTGAGAGCATTATCAGAAGTTGACCTTTTGTTGTAGCAATGGCGGTCTCTGCCTCAGCTGCAGTTTCAACTTCTCTTTCATCTCACTTAGTTTCCAAGGAAGTGAAATGTAAGGAAATTCCCCTCCTTTCTCTCTCTCTCTCTCTAATTTGCAGCTTTTTCTCTCTCCCTCTCTCTCCATTGATCTGAGTTCCATTAAACACTTTTGTGATTAGCTTTTTGGAGAATTTCCATATGAACAATCTCAACGTTCGATTTCTTATTTTCTATCTGTTCCTCTATCTGTAGAGTACATTGAATGTACAGAAATGGCTATAAACAGAGTTTCTATTAATCGTATTAACAGCTACTCTAGGAGGAATGTTAACTTTCTTAAGTTGTTAACTTATTCTCTTTTGCAATTCTTAGTTTTTAGGGTTTATTTATTTATTTATCTGACTTGCTGTTTTCTTGTTCCTTATTTTTCAGCGCCTCTATTTGTGTCTCAGTCAGAGCAATTTAGATTTCCCCAAATTGATTTAAGGCATAAATTGAAGCCATTCTCTGCCGAGGCGAGGTCGAGAAGAAGAGATGCTTTCCTTCTCTCTGCTGCGACCCTAACACCGACTGGTTTGTTCTCTGAATTTCTTAACCCAAGACAAATTTGGGACTTTAGCTCAGCTCTTCGAAGGTGGGTGCAATGTCTGAACCCTAATGCATGATTTTGCTTTTGCAGTGGTGGAGAAAGATGAGGAAGACAAGGAGGATTATGAGAAGTTGGCCCAAGAGCTGAAGAATGCTTCTCCTCTTGAAATCATGGACAGGGCTCTTGCCAGATTTGGCAATGACATTGCAATTGCTTTCAGGTGAACTCTTACATTCTTCTTGTTTTTGGGAAACATTATTTAGATGTTCTTTATGAGCCTAATAAAAAGGGTTTGTGATCACAAGCGTAATCACCGTCGAAATATTCTCAATCACAGGCGTCTATACTGTGGTCGTTGATAGATACGTGTGCACAGAGTTTAATGATCATCTTGATGATAGAATACTTTCTTTATCCCTCTCTAAACTTGTCCAGATCTCCGGACTTTCTGGAATTACAATATTACCCCTGCATGTTTTAAAGAATTAGGCTCGGCATGGGGCCGGGTGAGGCCAAGTCGAGTCCGGCCTAAGCCCAGCTGAGAACCTGCCGAGGTTAGGCCGGGCCCGATCTATTCCCCGTTCAGCCTGGCCCTGATAAAAAAAGGTGAGGGCTGAAGCCTTACCCTACTCTATCAGAGAAAGGATGAAGTTTCTGCAAGGTCTAGGCTCTATGAGACCAAATAAAGCAACATGTGTTGAAAGCACGTCCGGTCGGCAATACACGATGGCTCTAAAATCAATTTTTAATATCTTGTAAATCATTATAATCTTGTAAATCTTTGACCATTTAATTTTTAGGGCAAAATGGATGCTCTCTTGACAATTTGTTAAAACATCCACTATTTTTTTAGCTTGAAATCTTTTTTTTTTTTTTCGCAACAGCTTGAAATCTTATTTTTTTTTGACAACCGTGATATTCAAGCCGAGAAGATCGATGTAAAAGTTTCTCAATGCTTGAATTGCAATTTTGGATGGGTTATGTGGTGAGGCTTTACTTATTTTGATAGAGCTGTAGCCCTTTCAAAAAACCGAGAATGTTTCTATGAAATATATTTGGATTGATTTTTTTTAGCAGTGTAAGCTAGGATGATGGTAATTTGATCTTTCCTTCAAAAGAATTATCACAGATGTTTGTACATGAGTATCAAATAAATGACCATTAATTGTTTCCTGGTGACTGTTTTCTTGATAAAAAGTTGCAAACTTTGCTCTTGACTGGGGTTTTTTGCAGTGGAGCTGAGGATGTCGCTCTGATCGAATACGCGAAACTCACAGGCCGGCCCTTCCGAGTCTTCAGCCTTGACACTGGTAGGCTGAACCCAGAGACGTATAGATTCTTCGATACTGTGGAGAAGCACTATGGCATCCATATCGAGTACATGTTCCCGGATGCAGTGGAGGTGCAGGCCCTGGTGCGCACAAAGGGCCTCTTCTCATTCTACGAGGATGGCCACCAGGAGTGCTGCAGGGTCAGGAAAGTCCGGCCCCTGAGGCGTGCTCTCAAGGGCTTCAAGGCCTGGATCACAGGCCAGAGGAAGGATCAGTCCCCTGGAACCCGTGCTCACATCCCTGTTGTTCAGGTACAGTGACCACTGATCTCCCTCTTCAAGTAGAAGTTTACTCTTGTTAATCTGGGTTTGAAACCATAGTGGCATTGAGTTGAGCAGATTGGCTCAATCCCAAAGTTTGTGCCCCAATTTAACAATGGGGACCATTGTTCTTCCAATTTCTTTGCATTGTAAATCTTGAGTTGCCTATGTTTTCTCTTTGTTTTGTGACTGAATTTCGGTGTTACCATATGAAGGTGGATCCATCGTTTGAAGGGATTGATGGAGGAGCTGGGAGCTTGATTAAATGGAATCCGGTGGCCAGCATGGAGGGGAAGGACATATGGAACTTCCTTCGCACCATGAATGTCCCTGTAAACACTCTGCATTCTCAGGTAAACCAGCTTCAGAAAATATTTAAGACGTCTTTCCATTTTTTTCCTTGTTTGATGCTCTTATGGTATATCTTTCCATTTCTCTTTTTTCTAATGTGATGATGCTCTACTGGTATCTCTGTATTGCTTATGATATACTTTGGTGCTGGGCATATTTGCAGGGTTACGTATCGATTGGGTGTGAACCTTGCACGAGGCCTGTGTTGCCTGGTCAGCACGAGAGAGAAGGGCGATGGTGGTGGGAGGATGCTACTGCCAAGGAGTGTGGCCTTCACAAAGGCAACATTGAGCAGGCATCTGAAGATAGCCGTAATAAACTCTCTACAAATGGAGTGGCTGATGCGGATGACATTTTCAAAGGACAGAGTGTGTTGAGCTTGAGCAGAACAGGGGTGGAGAATTTGGCTAAACTACAGAGCAGGAAGGAGCCATGGCTGGTTGTCCTCTATGCTCCGTGGTGCCGCTTCTGCCAGGTCAGTCCCTCTCTCTCTCTCTCTCTCTCTCTCTCTCTCTCTCTCTACT